ATAAGCTCTCAACCAACAAGTCAAGGTGAGCTGTGTACTACAAAACATTTTGATTGCAAAACAACTAGAGATTCGTCCTTTGACATGGCCAGGTTTTGTGACCGCCAATGCAGGGTTACAGGGCACGGTAGTCGGTGGGTAGCAGCATATTTTATGTTTTATTAGGGCATTTTTAACCGAATGTCATTCTGGGCGTTTGCAATTCGTGCAAGCGTCCAATAAAGCGGCATTCAAAAAGTTATTTTATATTTTGAACAGTGCAACGCTAATATTAGTGGGATAATATTAGTGGGATAAACGTTTGTTGTTGTTGTTGAACAATACGACATTAACCGAATGTCATTTGGGCATTTGCAGTTCGTGCAAGCGCCCAATCAAGCGACATTCAAAAAGGCATTTTCGCATTTTGAATATTGCAACACTAATATTAGTGGGATAAAGACTTGGTGTTGTTGAACCGTGCGACATTAACCAAATGTCATTCAGGCATTTGCAGTTAAGGCAAGCGTCCAATCAAACGACATTTATAAAGGTATTTTTGCGTTTTTTTAATGTGAAGGTAATATTAGTGGGATAAAAGTTTGTTGTTGTTGTTGTTGAGCAGTGCAACACTAATATTGATTTCGCACTATTCATGACTGTATTTTCTTAGAAAAAAAGAATAGATAAAGAATATATACATAATATTCTTTTTTGATGTCAGAAATAGAATTCGATTGGAAATGAATTACTGTTTGAAATGTCCTCATGTACTCTTCAATCATAATATTATTAATCCAAGGTATCAATATAATATCTTTTTTCTTCAGTTGATCACAGCAAAACTTCAGCTGAAAGGCGTTTAATCGGTTCCAAAACATAATATTATGCATGAAATAATAGAAAAAAAACGAACTTAATTAGCACATTGCTTATCTGACCAATAGATCCAAGATTAATATGTTTAATTAACAGGTTAAACAAATTCCTGTTCTTAGCTAGCTTAGAAATAATTTACTTAAAGAATCCAAGCAGCTATATACAAAATAACGCCGAACTGATCCCAAAAAAAATTCAGATCCTGTGAACAATTATGAGCTCTTAATGCTAGTAAGTTACTTACCAAATTAATTACTGTAACTTATGTAAAAACTTTCTATAACCTTCAAGACAAATTAAATCTATTTAAGTTTTATATGCAACTCCCAAACTCTTAATCTCTCCTTTGGACTATATAATAAGCTCCCACCTCCTCACTCATCCCATCAAAATACCCAACGTACAGCAACAACAATGGCGAAATCAGGAGCTATTGCTTACGCCATCCTCTTCCTCGTAATCGTGGGCACAACCATTCCGACAGCCTCATCATTCCAACTCCTCCCTGACATCTTCAAGTGCTGGAAAGCCATCGTTGAGGTCGAACACTGTGTGGTGAAGCTTATTCCTAGCTTCCTTAACTTACATATAAGGCTCACCCAAGAATGTTGCAAGGCTTTCGTGCACATTGAAGATAGTTGTCTTCCTGCTGTGTTCACCGCTCCTGTGTTTGGCCCCGGGTTGTCCAACTTCACCTCCAGCGTTTGTGGCGTATTTGCCGATCCGCCAGCTTCGGCTTAAGTGATTTTCTAGCTTTGTTTTCAATAAGGCTCTTGCTCTTTCATGAAAATGGATATAATTATTTGTATGAATGATGGTGGTTTTAACCTTTTGGTTTTGTTAAAGATCGATTTAAGTTTCTTGATCATGTATGTTTAATGTTATTCCGATGCTAATAAAAAAATTGCAATAAGCCTTTTTCTCGTATTTTGAAATCACAAGCTGCAGGTTATTGCCTTGAATATTTCAAATGAACTCTTTATTCTTATAATAGCACTTTATTTTGTATGACACTTAGTTTTTATCGTTCTAATGGTATATTGCTTTGATACCAATTATGATAGCCCAAATTCTTAACTAAGAGCCCACCAATTTTACCGTGTTGGTGTTCCTAGGAGGTTATCCATCCCATAATTTCTCAGGTATGAGCACGCTTAACTGCGCGCGGAGTTTCTTAATGAGATTCCAACAATTACACCAAAAGGTGTGTAGATGTTTAAGAGTTTAATTTCTTTTACTTAAGGGGTTTCACAACAATACAATCAAATTCCACACAATCTAATATTAGCGTGGCTAAAGTTTTTAATAATGTGATTATAAAATTGTTAGGGGTAAAACACTTTTCTTAAAAGCTATCATATGAATGATAAATATTTTCTTTTTCAGAAATTAGGAGAACGCTTATTTATAACTAACTAATATATTTTATTAAATTTGATTGCAAAAAACAACTTCCAATCCCAAAAGCTATTGAAAAGAACCTAAAAGCTGATGAATGTTTAGGTTTCAAGTTTATTTTCAGGAAATTATACAGCTTCAAAAATTTTAATTAAAGCTTAACCGTTCATATGAAATTCATCGATGACGTACATATATATATATCATTTACAGCCTTAAAGCATTTTTTTCTACTCGATTAAAATGCGAATATTTCTCTTCTTGATCACCACTAACTATAGAGAAGGCGAGGCCGTCTTCCTAACACAGCAATGCGATGCCAGTAATAGTCGTGATGCTCATGGCCTGGAAACATGAAGTCGAACTGTTTGTCACCGAGCATCAGTTGATTCAAGAATAGCTCCGTTGTTGGAGTCCACGCCACCACCGCCGCCATCCTCTCTATCCGCTCGCAGGCTCGCCGGTCGATCGGCGGCACCGGTGTTACAACGTCATCCTCCTCCTCCTCCTCTTCTTCTTCTGATGATGATTCCGCCATGGTTATTACTCTTGAGAGTTGGAGTGCTTGCTCTTCTTCCTTCTCCATCTATTGGTTTCTGTGATCTCTGGTGGAGAAGAGAACTACGCAAATATATAGAGAGGAAGGTAGGAAAAGTTATGGATGCGGAGAGCAGAACGTGAATGGAAGGGCCAAAGAAAGTGTTAGGCATAATCGTGCACGAGAAGTGCGTTTACTGCGACATTTACAAGTCAAATCAAATCCAAAGATTTTTGAAAATTTACAACTGGAAAATTTCCGTGAAATATTATAATTTTTATGAAAATAAAAACTGATGATAATATGCTCGGCTAAATTTAACTTATAATATTAAATATTTTTCTTCAGTTAAGTATATTTTCATACAATTATAATATATTTTATTTTGTTTGAATACAAACATGCATTTTGAATAGTCAACTATATAAATGAGGTTATAGGCCAATAACTTGACCTTCCATGCACTATCAAATAATAGGATTTTTCGCAGCATATGTTAAGAGCAGTTTTAAAATCACTGCTAAAACTAACACATCATTCAATCTATACCACCAGTCTTGAAACTGTTGTGGAATGTTATTGCAGCGTATTGCCATCACAACGGGGATGCAACGGTTTTAGAACTGCTGCAAAGTAAAATATAGCAGTTATAACTGCGGGGAAAAGTAAAAAATTGTGACGCGATAGCCCGATTTTTTTATAATGATAATTATTATTAATAATTTTTTGAGAAATAAACTAACATCAAAGGATGATTATAATGGCATAAGATGGTGGCGGTCAAGTGATGATGATATGATAATAAAGATTATAATGGTTGTGTGATAGTAATCTCATGATGACAGTCGAACGACGATGATCAGGTGAAAGCCATAATCAACACTACAGGAAAATCAACGATTACAAGCAGTAAATCCGGCGGTCAAATAATCGCCGGAAGTACTGACAGTTTAATCGGCCGTCTGACAGTCGATATTAACCGACTCTTTTCTCCGACGGTGTTTAATAACAAACCACCGTGAATGTCGGTGGTAAAATAACCCCCGTTTAGGCTGCCTGTTTTCTATTTTTGCGTGGGATTTACCGGTGGCCAAGTCGTCGGTGTTAAGTGTTTTTTTTTCCGGATAACTACCGGAAATTGACCTAAAATTGGTCAAACCGACCCTTCCTCATCATTTGTTCGCGTATTGTTTTTCCTCCAAACGCCGCTCTGCTAGTGCTAGCCTTCGACTACGTTCGCAGGACTCTGGCCACCGACAACGTAACTATGGCCGCCGATCACGCCTTCACTCTGGCCACCGATCACACCCTTGCTATGTCCGCCAACGCCCTTGCTATGCCCGTCGACTTCCTCGATCACTCCGGCTAAGCCAAACGCCCCAAAGGTTGTTACATTAACTTTTTTTTTCCCTTTAGTCTTGGATGGTTATTTAGAGAGTATTTTCGTATTTCATTTTGATTACATCGAGGTTTTGGAGTGTAGGTTGCGGCGTGATACTAATGTTCCTCAAAATCAAATTGGATTCATGTCGGGTAGGCCTACTATGGAAGCCATATATTTATTGAGAGGTTTGGTAGATAAATAAAGAGATAATAAGGAGGATCTACATATGATATTTTTTATTTAGAGAAAGCATATGATAAAGTTTCAAGAGAAGTGCTATGGAGAGTTCTGGAAAAGAAAGGGGTTTAACGCTTATTAAAAAGTCATTAAGGATATGTATGCATAAGTTGTTATTTGTGTTCAAACAAAAGGTGGTTTGACCAAGTATTTTCCAATTTAAGATGGATTACATCAAGGATCACCCTTAAACACATATTGTTGCTTCAATCATGGATGTTCTTACTAGACATTTGCAGAGGTCAACGTATGAAGATTTTTGTGAATTTAATTTTAATAGCAATAGATTCATTGGGCGAATTGTGAGTTTGGACAATTAAGTCATTAATAAGGATTTTCGATAGTGCCCAAAAATTACAAAAAAAAAAAAAAAAAA